TAAGTAAATGGAGTTCAGAAAATTTTAAAAGATTTGGGTTAATAATCCAAAAATGTGCTAAACATGTTAGATTTTATCATATGAATTCTAATTACTTTCTAACAAGAGTTAAGCCTTTCAAAAAATCATTGGGTGAATTCTATGACACAATGGAGAAATTTCATTTGCCCATCACCTCCAATAATGCAGTCACCAATAGTTCTCCTTTAACAACAAAGGAATTCACATCATCATTGACAATTTATCGACCAAAAAATCTTACAATTTTGCCATATCGTGGAGCAATAATTTCAACAATTATGAGTGTACACCATGCAATAACTATAGCCTCATGGATAGATAAAATGGATTTAACAAGTAATAATAATGGTGGTGTAGATAATCATAACACTAATAATATTGCTACCACTAGTAGTGCTACCACCACCACCACTAATAATAATGTTGATTATTCATATCCAATTAATCAGATACCATATGAATTTAAATTATTGATAAGAGGTAGTAGAGATGGGTTTTCATCATCAACATTTCATAAACATTGTGATAATGTTGTTGGGACAATAACACTTGTAAAATTACAAGATTCTGAATATTTTGTTGGAGGTTATAATCCAAATATATGGACATCTCATTTATGGCCAAGGTTCAATTATAATACCGATTCTTTTATCTTTAGTTTCATACAAAGTGGTGGTGGGCTAAGTAAAAATTTCCTTGATGACAGTAATGGCAATGGAATTTTCAGTAATGGCAATGAAAATGATAATAACAATTGGAATAATAATGGTGGTAAAATAGCAAGAATAGTTGAGTCAGATCACAAGTATGCTTTAAATTATTGGAGATCAATTGGACCTTCATTTGGTAAATTCGATTTACTAATGGAAAACAATATTATCAAATTTAAACATAGAAGCTATCATCCAAACATTATGCCAATTGATAATGGGTATGCTAGAATTGAAGATTATGAAGTGTTTCAAGTGGTTAGGAAAGCTACTGTCTTGTCTCCCTCATCTTCAACCATTATTAATGCTAATTCTACATCTACTGATAGTAATAATAGTATCATTAGCATTAATAATAATAATAATAATAATAATAATAATAATAATAATAATAATAATAATAATAATAATGATAATGATAATAATAATAATAATAATAATAATGGATTTGGTAGTAATAGTGTTAGTAATTTTATTTATAATATTTATCTTGGTAGTGATATTATTCTTAATAACATGTTGTTAGACACTGAAGGTTATTGATTGACTGTGATTGATTGATTGATTGGAGAGATAAAATATATAGAGATAGAAAACTTATTATTATTTACTATAGACATTATATAGATTATTTGTTTATACTAGAGATAATATTTATTTATTTAATTAAATTTTAATCTAAAATTTATATAATTTTATAATTTAAAATCCCACATGTTTGTTTAATAAATCACCTATTTTATCATTATTTCTGTAAAGGTTCATGTCTTTCCAATTATTCATTTTCATTCTCCCAACATTCTTTACCAATAATTGATAATCTTTAATACTATTCCCATTGTCTTTAATAAAATCACTACTAATAAATCTAAAATTTATATATTTGGTAATAAAATATTTATATTGTATATACTTTGTTGAAATTAAATTTGAATACATTGTTTTTGCCAATTAGTAATTAACTAGTACTAGGTATTATTACATTACAAAACTTATAAAAACAACTTTATGATCTTTAGCTTCTTCCTCTTGGCAAGCATTATAGTGTAAATCATCTTTAAAATGCTGACAAGTATCACACAAGTCAGTCCTTGGACTCATAATTTGAATTTCTGGTGTCAATTGATGTCATAATTTTCTAAAGGCATCATATTTTAAGGATTTCAAATTACTATTTTCTTCCAGACCAGCTAGAAAGTCTTGTGCACTGATTTATAGCTCATTTCAGCTGATAAGAATACAATTGATTTATTCTATTATTACTTCTTCCTGGACTTGGTAATCCATGGACTTCTGCATAATTTTCCAGAAAATTCTTTACTACTTCTGCAACATGTTTATCAATCAGCATTTTAGTTTTCCATTGAGGCATCCTTTTTTTAATATTACCATGAATTCTTGGTAAAAGACCATTGTTTATCAAATGATTTCTAATGTTTTCAAAATAAGTCCTAGCATATTAAGATAAGTTTCTTGACAAAGGAATGTATTGTGATCCCAATGGTAGAAAGTTCTTTTATTAGATCTGGTTTTCTTTTCCCTATTACTATTAACATAATGGCAACAAAAATTTTTAAAATCCGTTGAAACGCGAATTTAATTATAATCCGTTGAAACAAGGGTTATATTGTACCGACCAGTTACACATTAAAAATACTCGTGTTTAATGTCGAGACACAATAAGATATAAGGACCAAAAACCAAATCGGCTGATATGAATCTTTAAGTTTTTATATCTTCAATTGGAAAACCTTCCTGGATGAAGTAATTTCACCTTATTTCCCAGAATAGTTTAAAGAAAAATCTTGAATTAAAGGGAATACGTCCATACTTAAAGTTCCTTGATATATATCTCAAATATCTTTTGGGCCTAATGAGAGGAAAAAATAATAGGTTACGACATCACTTTCAAATAACCTCCTCCCGACTTCTATTGAAAGATATACGTTACTAGTAGGAAATTTTTTTAAAAAAAGTTTCAAACAGCAACAAAGTATTTATAATACAATTCGTGTTTTCAGCATAGTGGAAGCTTCCATTGAATAAATATGTTCTTTTTGTTATTTTTCAAAGGACCTAGATTGGTTTGGTTTTTATCCCCTCATTCCATTCACTTCACTTTGCTGAATATAAGTCAGTCACTTAATTACAAGCAACCTATAATAATTCGGTACTTGTCAATTAATTAGTTTACGAATTTACTTTTGGTTCTCGATTAATGCACCTGTGGGCACACTTAATGGTACCAAGTAACTGTAAATAAATAAAAGATGGCCTTTTGCAAAGCTCAAGGGCCTCGATTTATTTCAGTCGTTTACATTTATTGGTCTATTGCAAACTCGCTTTGGTTTGCTTGCAAACCAACTTAAGTAGCTTATTTAACAGCCTTACGTTTACGATTACAATAATATCACCATTAACCTTTGGACGATACTTCATTAACACTCACCAGTTAACCAACGTTAGTCCCAACTCACTAAAGCAAATTATGTCACTGATCGTTGTTAATACTCACTAGTTAATCCTAACCTTGCTCACTCACCAAATATTTCACCATTCGTTTTTGAAATTATTTTAAAGTTTGTATATTTATTTTTTATAAAGTTATTTCGCTTTTCTTCTGTAAGGAAAGTCTCGCCAATGTATATATATATAATATACATGCTTTTATTAATAGGTTTATTTATGGAGGAAAAATCATGTTTGATGAAGAAGAGAAAGAACCTTTGATAATATTTGAATGCCTGATGGCAGCCGATGAATTATTATTGGACGAGTTTATTGATTACACACAAACGTTATTACTAAATAAACATATCCAATGGCTTAAAGACAACCTTCCCATAATCTTCCGTATTACTTTTAACACAAATGC